AAACAACCATGGTCTTTTGTTTCTATGGATTGTATCATTGATCTTTTAGTCTAAATTTTTTATGATTCTATATTTGTAATAATAAATTATTTTATCAAGATGGCACATTTTTTTTATTATGTATAAAATCTATTAGAAGTAAAGAAATGGCTAAGCTTTTTCTTAACAACATCTATCGCTATTACAGATTGCCTAATGATATTATATTAGATAAAGAAACTCAATTTATATCAAGATTTTGGATAATCCTTTTTAAGATTTTAAAGATGGATATAAAGCTCACTTTGACTTTTCATCTTTTTGAGCCATATAAAATAGTAAATATCTCAAGAAGAAGACAAATGTCACTTTCTCCTAGTTAAGATGTGTGTCTTACAAAGTTAATATGTTTTAGAAGTTTCATAAGACATCGCCACATAGCTCCTAGTTAAGAGTATATATAAAGATAAGAGTGAAGCCTTCTTCATTCTTACCAATGCTTTTCTAATCTTTAGTCTTGTTTCAAGTCTTTCTAATCTTCTTATTTTTGGCAATATCCATTCTAGTTCAATATTATATCATCTATGAAAGACTTTTTAATTCTTTTTAGTGATATGAGAGTTTATTGAGGATTTTTTTTCCTTCAAGATTCATGTCCTTAATAGAGATATTTCCATTGATCATTATTTAATATTAGATACAAAAAAACATCTCTAATATGAATATTTGTCTTAATAAATTCTACTTTAGACTCCATATCTACTATTAATAATCTATTTTCTATTTCTTCTAAAAATTCTACTACTAACTCACAAAATTTGTGATTTTAAACAAAATAGGTGTATTTTTATACTAAATACTCAAGTGAAATAATTCAATGACTTACAACATCTAATATCAAATGAAAAACTCTACAAAGAAGGATAGTCCATTCTCTTTAAGGAAAATCTCATTATTAAGGAATTAGAATGTTAGATTAAAGGTAGATGGTCTACAACCTTCAAAATACAATAATAGAAGTAGAATATTCTACTCACTTCTAAAAACAAGATAAGAGTAATGAGTTAGTAGTCTTGTCAAAATATCAAAGGCATAAATCTCAAAGAATCAAAAATAAAATATACTCTAGTCTAAGTCTAAAAGAATCAATATTCATTCAAAACTAATATAGTATTAAAATTGGAATAGCTATTGCCAAAGACAAGAAGACTAGAAAACCTTGAAATAAGACTAAAGACTAGAAAGGCATTGACAAGAATGAAGAAGGCTTTATTCTAATTTCTATATATATTATGTAACTAAAAGCCATGTAATGACATTATATAAGACCTCCAACACATGTCCAATTTGCAAGACACATGTCTTAACTTATAAGATAAGTTTCTTATATGTGCACTACATTGTTAGCTTGTACCACAAGCTACTAATGCATTGTTGTGATACACTTAATTTAAAAGCATCAAAGATATTTAGAGGGTAATTAACTTTACTAACAGGAGGGGAGGAATATAATGCTAATATATTTATAAATTTGAATGGGATTTAAAATAGGAGGTTATTGGCTTGAATAGATTATTCAAGCTTTGAAGTTATTATCTTTTAGGATAGATATCCAATTCTATAGTGGTTTAAGGTAGATATCAAGAAAAAATTAAGATGGAAATTTTGGCATCAAGTAGGGATTTTTTCTTTTCTTTTTGATTGGATAGGATTATATAGGAGAGAGATTGCTGGAATTTTGAAATATTAAGTTTCAAGACTAGTTTGGGATTTTTGATGCAGCTTATTAAGTTTTCATTTTTTTGAGTTGAGATTTAAAAAGAAGTTAAATCTCATTGTTAGATTTTCAACAAGCTTTAGCACGTAAGAAGAAAAGGTGTGGCAAAGGAGGTCCATTCAAGTTTGTAAGACGGGGAGGGGGTTGTTAGAGTCTACAAGGCAATGTAATTCAAGAATGGTTTGGAATTTTTTGTGCCATTTCCTATATTTTTTTTCTTTTTGATCTAAGATTTTGAAAAAAAACTAGATATCATTATTAGCTTTTCAAAAAGCCTTAGCTTGCAAGAAGAAGAGTTTTGAGGAGGGAGATCCAAGCTAATTTATAGACGGAGATTTTGAAAGTAGTCGCTGCAATAAGTAGCCAACTTTTTTTCTTTGATTTGACTGTCATTTTTTTCAAATTTTTATTTATTAATTTTGACAATTTGAAGTTTATAACTTGAATTAAACTCAATGAGTTAAACTTTGCTTAGATTGGATTAGTAATAATTGAGTGATAGATATTTTAGTAAAAAGAGATTTAGATTTGAGATAAGAGCTAGAAGTTAGATTCATCTTAGTACAAAAAAGAAATTAATCTTTAATTTGTACTCAATCTTTGAGCTTCCTTTTTATATTTGAGTACACTTGGATAATATTTTACTTCTTACAATCTACTTGCAATCAAAGACCTCATATTTTCCTAAGGAATCTTACCTTTTTGACAACATATAATACATGGCTAACATATTGGCCAAGTTTCTAACCTATCAATTACTTATAAATACATATAAAGGTGAATATGCATCTATAGAGCTTCTAGGAAGCTTTCTTACAATATATTATCAAATTAACCTACTTTTATCTATTCATAATATCTAAATAACTATTAGTATAAATATGTATGTCCATAATAGCATGCCATTATCAATAAAAGTCAAAGATAGAATATTTTTCTTTTAGTAGGATTAGCAAAATTTAACCTTCTAATTACAAATTCATATTGTCTTATTGCCTAATATTTTGAGATCTTATTCTATACAAAATATTATAAAAATTTGTAGTATTTATTTTACCAAGAAATCTCTATAAATTTATTTATTTCAAAAAATGTTGTCAAAATTATTTTTTTTTCATTGTCTATAGACTGAGACTTTAATCACATCATCATTTCGATCAAAAATTACTTGATGCATTTTGTAAAGATGCAATGCCAATTAAAACACATTTGAAACTTCTTCATGGATTTTCATTCTAAATAAACCTTGTATTGTCTTTGAAACTCTAATATACCATGCACCAATATATTACTTTACCTCATCCTATTCATTTTCAATTTGAATAGTTGTATAATCATATCCTTTATAGATGTATTTATCAATATATTTCACAATGCAAATTGAATTAGTTAATTAATTATATTTTTTAAAAAAAACTTAAAATATTATATTAAAATTTTATGATTAAATATTTTAGAACTTTAAATTTTGCATAAAAGATGGATCAATAATATGTTTAAGTCAAAAAAATTAACAAAAAATTAAATGATTTTTTTAATAATATTATTTTTAAAAAAACCAAATTTTATGATTGCATTTATTTATTTTTTGATAAAAAGAAGCTATTAATTCTAAATAAGTATAATTAATTATTATTATCTTGATTATATTCTTGGTTATATGAAAAAATCAATATGAATTTATTTTTTATTAATTAAAAATATATTAAAAATATATCATATTAAATAGAAAATAAAAATACTTCAAGATTATGTTGATAGAATTAAATAAATATACTAAAAAGAAGGATTTTTATTAAATAAATAATATTTCATATATATATATATATATATATATATATATATATGTTCTAATTATTTTTTAAATATATGTTTAAAAATCATTTATAAGTACTAAAATAATTTGAAATAAAACTAACTATTAAAGAATATCTAATATATATGTATAATTAAATTATTTCTAATTATAATACATCTAATACATTATTAAGATTTTACTAGTAGTAGCTTTTTGTAATGTCTAGACATTAAAAAATTAATAAAAAACAAACAAATAGAAAATATTCTCTTTACATATTAAGATTAATCAAGTAAGTATTTAATTAAAATTTATACTATTACTTTCTTTCAATAAATATTTATATCATTTTAATTTATAATTTAATGAATGTGATTTTATTTAAAACTCAAAAACCTTGAGCAATGTAAGATGATTATTTGAAAAATGTTTTCAAAACAAAGTCACAAAAACAAAAACCAAATTTGAATAAAAACTAGTTAATAATAAATACTACTAGTATGGAATGTTAATGTTGTGTTCATCTTATTTTAGAATTAACTATAGAATTGTTTGGGAGATTCATATGAAAAAAATACATTAAAAAAGTATTCTAAAAATAATTCATTTAAGTCAATGATTGAACAACAAATCAAAAGTTTTTGACACCCATTATTGGTCCTTTATATGAAGTACATACAAATTCCTTTAATGGCTATATGTGTTTGTTTTAATCATCTTTTACTTTATTAATAATTAAATTATTTCTTATTAGAACTAAAAAAAGATAAAGGAAAACAACAACTTCTTATCAACTTTAGACAAAGTTTGAGACATTCTCTCATTGGTTTCCTATAATACAAAGAAATCATCTAATAATAAGAATACATGTTAAAGATAGGTTTACATCATCAAACATCAAAAACTTAATTTTTGATCACCTCTATAGCTCTTCTATTTAGTAGAACAGTGCAAATGGCACCTTTGTCAAGGAAGCTTAAATTGATATTATTATCAATATATATGTATATATATATTGCATAGACCAATGCTTTTATTAAATAGATCCACACTTAATGAAGAATATAATATGGTAATTATAATGAATGTGATTGGTTTTTATTGGTTGCAGGTCCAATAATGGGGAAATGAACCTAGAAATCATTATATTACATAGACCAATGCTTTTATTAAATAGATCCACACTTAATGAAGAATATAATATGGTAATTATGATGAATGTAGTTGGTTTTTATTGGTTGCAGATCCAATAATTCTAGAAATCATTATTTTTTTTTTCATGATAGTTAAGATGGGTGAATATATTTAGTAAAAACTTGGGTCTATTTAACATTCCCCTTTTATTATATATAGAAGTAAAAAGAAATGAGGAAATGGAGCATGCCACTGCTTTGTGCTGGTCGATGGTGAATAGAACTGAGAGGGAGATTCTCCCACTCAAATAGCATCTTCGATCGCTTTGCACCCGAATTGGGGCTTAGGGTTTTAGCAAATTGTCGGCACCTGAGGGTCAGCAATGAACGGTGCTGTGCGTCGATCGATTTCGAAATGTTGATCAATTTTGATTTCTTGCTTTGTAGCGAATTTTGAGAGGGGATTTATGCGTGTCGCAGAGCGAGTGAGATTTCTGCTTCAATTCTATGCACCGAGGTCGGAATTGAGGTGGAGTTTGAGTCGGGGATTGATGGGGGAGGATTGCCGTGGGCAACGGCGGAAAATCTGGCAGGGAACCAGCCGCTGGTGTTGTCACTGCACAGTCAGTGTCTTTGCGTCCTGAGCTCAAGGAAATTGGCGCTGGGATTGGGTGCTCAAATGACCTACAAAACTGATTTGTGGGAGGTTTTGACGTGAGAGCCGAAGAACGGTCATTGCACTCAACGTTGGCGAGTTAACTAACACTGCCGAGTGTGCGTTGTCGCTGTGACTTAAGGGCCAGATCCTTTGTGGGAGCTGGAACAAGTGATAAGTCGTAGTTTACTTAAACATCCTTTGTAAGTATCTTTAGGATTTTTTATTTTTTTCCACGTTGGGAGCATTGCGCCCTCGAATCCAGAACGCATTTCAATCGATATTCTGGCAAAATTACGTTAATCTGCTTAGTGTTTAAGCGCATTGTTGGTTTTCGAATAAAGTCGAAACTTTACTGATTAATGGGTCAATCAGCGTCGAATGCCAACAGCAGTAGTAGAAGAGCCTGTCACGTTTTCCTTAAAGATGGCTTGCAGCAACTCATGAGTGGAATTATTGGGCAAGCTGGCGCTCAATTGACCCTCGTGTTTTAGAGAGATTCGTTTTGCAGCTAGAAGCATTTGTTACAAGCAAGGGGTTTTTGAGTACAATATTGGAGGAAACATCAGGGCTGCATTGCATGTTGTTGTTTTCCGCTGTTCAAAAACTTTACAATTCGACAATAAATTATACGTAACAAATGCAAGAAGAACATGCTCTGTGTTGTAATAAAATTGTATGATAACTTTTCTGAAGGCTATTATCTTCCTGAATACCGTTATCTTTCTGAAGTTCGCTTGTCACTGTGAGACCCAAACAGTGGTTTGTTTATTTGTTTGGGAGGTCGTTTCGGATATTTGTTAGTCACGGAAATGCCCTTTCTCTGATCATTCAAAGGAGGTATTATTCCTGTTCGTGACAACATTTTGTGATGTATGTGACAGCTAGTGATCCTTCGTTGGTCAACATGTGTGGCATTGCATTGAATCTCTCTGGGGTTCACATTGAGGGTCACCTAGGTGCTGACGGTGGAAGTCCTGTAGAGCAAAAGGTGCGTATTCATGTACTAAAAAGGTTCCCTTGGATTAGTCTAGGATTCCCTCTTCTGCAGGTAGAACATCTTTTCTCGCATAACAGCTTAGACTGCTAATTCTTCTACAAATTCTTTGCGCCTTTAATCTTTTTTTACATTGCGCGGGCAAATCTACGATTGTTGAGGATGTATTCAACTTCAGATATCCTAATTAATCGTTGAGCTGCTCTTCTTCTTTTTTCTTTTTTCTGTTTTAGTTTTATTTGGCAACATATAGGTGTCCTCGCTGTAAGCACACATCGAAGGTTTATTAGTACATGATGCCAGTGAGTTCCAATAGTTGCTGCAGAATTCACTTTCACGAGTTACTGTTATTTTCGGTGAGGGTCCATCATAGTCGTTTGGGTTCTTTTGACAGATTTCGGTGATGCCCTTGGTCGCCAGTTACTCTTAAAGAGAGAAATGATTTAAAGGAAGTTGGCTAAGCACATCTCTAACACTTCCTAGCAAAAGTTACTATTGAAATGAAACATTTGTTCTTATTAGTAGTGTTGCATATGGCAGGATTCACAATTCGAGGGACCTAGCCTTGCGGATATTTGTGAGGGACTGAAGCGCAGGGGTCCAGATATTATCAACATTGAAACGCTTAATTTGACAGCCGTTCAAAGCTCCACTGACCTGCAAAGTGTAGCTAATGTAGAGAACTCAGTACATGTGCGTGCTCAGGTTCAGTCAGTAGCAGATCTGGTGGTTCAAGAAAAGAGGGATGAACCAACTAGCACTAAGATACAGTTTGTCGGTGCCTTGCTATCGTTACGGGGTGATTCCCCAGTCTCGCAGCCACTTAGAGATACTGCAGGCAATATACTTATTTACAATGGTGCGTTCGTATCTTATCCATTTTGAAGCTTCATGAAACTTGAGTGGCAGCGTAGTGTGAGAGCAAGACTTCTTTTGATCCTTAATGATTTTTTTATTTTTTTATGGTCTGTCAATCTATGGAGCAGGAGAGATTTTTGGAGGCCTTCGGGTGCAGCCGGGTGAAAACGACACACTGGTTTTGATGACAGCTTTGGCCACGTGCTGTGCTTGTGATTGCCATGCGTCACTCAGTAACATCCCGTGTGCATGCAGCACACGGGACACAACGGGTGTACACAAGACAGTACCGAAAATCCTTTCAGCATTGCGAGGGCCATGGGCTCTTGTTTATTGGCAGGTTAATGGCTTGTAATCATAATTGTGTTATTATGTCTTACTTATGCTGCACCTGATGGTAGGTAGGTACTTACTCAGCCCGTTTTATACGTATTGCGCACTAACTATTTGAAATTTTGTGTCATACATCAGAAGCTGCCTTTACTCCTAGATATTGCTCCAATTCTGAACGGTGGGACATATTCTGACGTTGAGAATTGATCTTCGTTGAACTTGTGTACACTTGTATTCTTAATGCCAAGTTATGTTTGTTTTCTGATCCAGGCCAAACATCAACTACTCTGGTTCGGAAGAGATGTACTTGGACGGCGAAGTCTCCTTTTGCATAGACCATCATTGTCGGACCCTCGCTTACTATTGGCGTCAGTTGCCCCTGCTGGAAGTACCGCTCTAACAGGCAGGAACGAAGATGTGCATGCGTTCCAATATTGGGAGGAATTGCAGTGTGGTATCCATAGCCTCACATTGAAGTCCGAAAACCCCGTAGGCACGTCAAGTTCTTTCAAAGGACTAACTCGACAGCATGTGTGGGAAGACCCACTTTTGTTGAAGTTGGTTTTGTGGGATCGACAATATGCGGATCCTAGCAACCTCACCGAAGCCCTCTTACTTACGGCTCCTCAACAAGGGAAAGAGACCACTGCTGATTCTGTTCTGAAAGCATTACGACATTCTATGGAAAGGCGAACCAGTAACATAAGGAGGCCTCAGCAGGTAAGTGCTCATAATTAGAAGACCAATTTGGTCACTTAAGAATTTTATTTGAACGATGCCTTGCATATAAGTATTTCTGCTGTTTGGAGTTTGTGGATCAAGTTTTGCATCTAGTTCTAACAGTTTGTGTGGCTATTTCTGTCTGAGCAGGAGTTAGTTAGAAGTAGCTCTGAAGATCTCTGTTTGGGAGAGGATAATGCATACACTCCTGTTGCTGTCCTGTTTTCTGGCGGCTTGGACTCTATGATATTAGCAGCATTGTTGGATGAGTGTCTACAACCTGATTGTATGTATGGCGTTTATGATTCGTCTCACTGGTTGCATTCAAAATATATCTAGAGCTACTTACCATAAAGTTTAAGTTTTTATGTTGCTTGCATCTAATCCAGGATATTGAACGTGGTTGATGTGTGTTCCTAGATGGGATTGACCTGCTGAATGTCAGTTTTGAGACCTCTACTGCACCTGATCGAATATCAGCTATTGCAGGCCTTGCAGAGCTTAGGCGACTCTCACCTTCCAGAAGGTAAACCTTTCAAGTGTCACCTTTTAAAAATATAAATTCATTTCCCTCACGTTGTTCTTTGGATAATATAACCAAGTATATGTTTTTTTTCTTTGTGCTCTCGACTAAATTGTCGTAATTTATTTCATGTTTCTCAGAATACATTGTCCTCATCTTTTTATTTCTAAGAATTTGTAGGTATGGATATTCATCTGCCATATTTTATACGTTGTGTTTTTGTTAATTGCTTTGAGGGCAGGTTTCAAGGAGCAGAACATAAGAACTCTGGTTCGGAATCTTGATAATGTAGGTATAACTGATAAACTTGAGATTTTGATGGTTGCAGGTGGAGATTGGTGAAGGTTGATGCCGATCTTACATCTATGGATTCATACCGCTCTCATTTACAGTCCCTAATATGTCCTTCCAATACATTTATGGTAATATTTTACTTCGATTATGTCCTTGGTATCGAGGTTGTGCCAAAAAGAGTTTAGTTTTATCGGATCTTCAACAACTATAGTTCTGCTGTCTTCTGATTTGGTTGTAATCTATGTTTACCTCTACGAACACTGAAAAGTTAATGTTTCAATCCGTACTAAATTTGAACACTAGTCGTAGTGATTCTTTGTCAATTTATGTCATTTGTGATAAATGTCGTAGGTCAAGAGTTAATCCAAATCGGAAGAAGTAAACCCGGACTTAGAACGCTTATTAGCCAACTTGAACGTCGAAGTAATATATTTTAGTACATTTTTATGAAAACTTGTTTTTCTTCTTGCCTACCAAATGCAGTTTTGATTTATCTGCATTTGGTATGTCATGGAAGCTGACCTCAAATATAATGAATTAGTTTATTTTTGTGCAGTATATGGTTAAGTGTAGATTTGTTCGCTTTAATGATGGTCAGGCCCTCTGGCTGATGTAGGATCTCAACATTGGAACGGCTTTGTGGCTTGCTGCAAGAGGAGAAGGGTATCTGCACGATACCCAGGAGCGACTCGAGCCAATTAGGCTAGAGGATGAAGATAGTAGGACCAAGTACAGGTCTAGTGCACGTGTGCTGTTAGTTGGAGCTGGAGCTGATGAGCAGTGCGGAGGCTATGGACGGCACCGCACAAAATACAGACTTGGCGGGTGAGGCCATTGTGTCTCCGCGCACTGTATGACCAACACCTGGGAGCTAGTTTTGATCTGCCTGGAAGTATCAAGTACAGAGTATATGCCATTGGTCATGTATACTATTCAATTAGTTGTCTTCGGCAAGATGAAAATAATTTTTTACTTGTAGGTAGAAGACTTGACCCCTCAGAAATGCTCTAAATTTTGGTAGCTTTGTGAATTGGCTAACTCGCATCCCTAGCACAACAATAATTGTGGCGCCAGTGGCATGTTCATTTCATATAAATGTATCGAACTGGTCAAGTTTTTAAAATGATGGCCTTAAACTGAGGTTCATGTTTGCATGCATATTCATATAAATGAAAAAGGTGGCTGGGATTGGTTGGTGCAGATGGGCAGCATTGCAAGCAGAGATGAGGATTGACATGCAGCGCATCTGGAAGCGAAATCTGGGGAGAGATGACCGTTGCATGGCCGATTTGGGTAAAGAGGTAACAACAAGCATTGTAACATTTTTATTGTACTCTTGGATGCACAAGTTGTAGGCAGTGACCGTATTTAGCAAGATAGACAAGCGCATTCCTGTTTTGTACTACTTCGGATAATGTGTTGGTTCTTGCATTGGCAGGCAAGGTTCCCGTTTCTTGATGAAGAAGTAGTGGACACTCTTCTCGATAAGCCTCTGTGGGAAATTGTAGATCTACGGCTACCAATTGGAAATGGCGACAAAAGAGTTCTTCGTGAGGTTCGTCTATTCACGCTCTTGCAGACATGCATACAAGATTTTATGTGAAGCGCGTACACAATTACATATTTAATCTGTTTTTTTTGGGAGAAATAGGAATCGATTTCGTCGTTTGACCTGATCAGGCTAGAAATCACGATATTTCGGGGATTTGTTACTGTGCAGGTGGCCATGAGCTTGGGATTGCCAGGTGCTGCGACTTTGCCAAAGCGTGCAATTCAGGTACGTGTAGTAATTGCTCACGAATTTTAGTCGTCATGCTCTTTCGACAATGAATAAAGTGCATTTCAGATATAGTATGTTGCCGGATATTTTGGAACAGCACTATATCTTAAAGTGAAAGTGTTGATGGAAGCATACTGACATGTCTTAGTCTCTGGTTGCAGTTTGGGAGCCGCATAGCACGGGAATCGAACAAAAGGGAGTTTGGGAGCAACCGTGCCGCTAATCAAGCATCTGCAGGCAGTGCTTTGCTGTCGGGTATTGTTCGCTTAGCATAGGTAGTGAGAGCAGTGACTTTGATGTGGAGACAGGCCAGATTTAATAGTCTGGCTGTAGATTATTTTGTTATTCAGCCGTAATGTGCTTACATTTCTTTTACAATTTTTTTTGTGGCAAAGAAATGACAATAAACAAATCAGAGTATTGGAGTTGTACCATCTTTCTAGCAAAGCCTGTTTTGTGTAATTGGAAGGAATGTCTATTCGCTCGTGGTTTCGTTAATGTATTTTAATACGAACTATAGACGCGGACTAAAAATTATTCTAGGTGAGATTCGTCGGTTCTTGCATGGAAAAATTCTGTGGTTCGACTGGCTAGCTATGATCAAAAAGTTGGATAGATGTCCATAAGGGACCGGAGACGTCGTCCTCGTGAGGTGATTCCTCAGCAAATCCTGAGAGGCCCATTAAGCTTAATGGTAGATAATCCATCATATCGAATGCCAATCTATCCGTAGGTGAAGGATAAGTTTTGAAACTTGACCCAAGTGATTTTTCTAAATTAAAATCTAATGAATTTTCTGATTGAGGGAGCTTGGGACACGGTTGCTCCAATCCCGACAAGCCGTTATCATATGTGCAGCTCGCACTGCTGCAAGGGTCATCTGTGTAGGGGCCTTGATCTACTTGACAATTGAAGGTGCTCTCAAATTCCAAACCTGTGTCAAATTGGCAATGCAATAACGAGTCGCCTGGGCTTAAGAATTCCTGTGGAAGTGGGTCTACATTCTGCGGATTTGTATACAGATTGTCAGCGCATTGAGCAATGTCGTCAAATGAAGGGCTGGGCCAGCCTCTCTGGTCCTCAACATTCTTACCCTTAGATTCCTCCGCGTCTAGAGATCCGTCAGAGTCGGAGCTTAGTTTCAGGCCTACACTGTGATTCTCATGGTCGATGCCCATCTCTCGGAGTCTTTTTTTCAGGTGCGTATTCCAGTGGTTTTTAATCTCATTGTCCGTCCGACCGGGAATGCGGCCAGCGATTAATGACCACCTACAACAACAAAAAAAAACATCTCTGCCGTTCAGCATCACGGACAAATCTAAATTGCGCCGGAGGAAGGAAGTCATTTACGGTCTTGGTCTGTACAATTCAATGAACAAGTATCCCAGTTTAAGCGGAGATTCGATTGTGTCAGTTCATGTACCTGTTTCCCAGGAGAGCGTGCAGTGTAATGATAAACTCATCCTCGTCCTTAGAGAATTTCCCCCGTTTGAGGCCAGGCTTGAGATAGTTCTTCCATCGAAGCCTACAGCTCTTCCCATCTCTCAGCAGCCCTGACCCATCACAACAAAGCCTCTCAGGGCGTCGTCCACGACGTTTTCAATCGTCCACACAAACGCACTACACAACATCCTACACGACTCTTGCGAGACTGGCTTACCTCCATGCTTAGGTATCTGTCGCCAACACCGATCCCCGTATTTCTCGACACACTCAGTAAGGATCTTATCTTCAGCCTCCGTCCACGGACCTTTGGACACTGGATCTGTTCCTCCCGACCTTCTACTCTTACACCTATCTAGGAACAGGCCCATTTCATGAAAGCAAGCTGAACAGCGTAAATACACACTCCAACCCACAAACAGGATCTCAAGGAGATGCTACTCTAATTCTCCGAATCCAGGACCACGGCACACACCCAGAATCGTACACAAACGAAGCTGTCGTTCAGTTCAAGGTACCACCGAAAAATCAAGCTGTAGTTAATACAAATCAAGAGGACGGATGCCGATCTAATATCTAGACCCCGCAGACCTGATTACCATATTGTCTCGGGAAATAAAAGTAAAGAAATTGGCAACAGCGGAACAGTGCTGCCAATGGAAATAGAAGTCCAGTATGGGGCATTGTTGACGGTGTCGTCAGGAATCACTAACAGCATTCCATGGGAAGTGATGGGCAGATAACGTCAGATAACGTCAGAGATGCTTCGATGCCGCCCAAGTTCTACCCTCGGATCCCTGCTGCACCGCGTCCCCTCCCACTAAATTTTCACTTGCTTCTCCACGATCCCGTTGTCCATCTTACCGACACCGCCCCACCCTCGGCACTTGATTGATACGCGCCTGGTGCCTTGTTGACCTCGAGGCCATTACGCGCATTGCGCTAGTTTTGCTCTAATTTCATCAATTTTTGTATTCCGGTTGACTTTGGCCACTTGCACTTTAAACTTTGGTTATTTTATTAACCATTTGTTTCTCCCTTGTAGAAGTTAGTTGCTACTTTAAACTTGGTTATTTTATTAACCATTTGTTTCTCCCTTGTAGAAGTTAGTTGCTACTTTAAACTCGGTTATTTTATTAACCATTTGTTTCTCCCTTGTAGAAGTTAGTTGCTTCTTTGTAACTCCCCATTAGCCTTTCCCTTTTGGCCTCCCTTTTGCCCAATTTTTGTAGATGGACAAGGCCATGTGTATGAAAACTTTGTCAAATTTGCCCAATACTCAATCATGGATGAAAAAAAAAAAAAAAAAAAAAAAAAAAAAACTCTATCATGGTACCGTTCTAGGGGTTATTTGGCCTCACTCTATATCATGGTGCTTAAAAGAAACTATGTTGTAGGATATACAAAGTAATCTAGAAATTGTATTTGATATAATTAATTAGATTCTCAAATATTTTACAATAATTGCTCAAAATTTTTATTTCTATGTACATATATGATGAATTTTTCATAATAAATATTGTATTAATCTTTTCATTTATAACACCTATATAAGTATTCTATATGACACTACTAATGTAGTTGATTTATTTGTTTAAAGTCATGAATATACTTTTGTTTTATATGTGTAATTTTGTAATGTCATAACTTCATAAAGAATTCAAATGCCATTTATGATGTTATTATTGTATACTATTTTATTTTAGATAACTTAGGTATATAAATATAAAAAAATAAAAGAAATAGACAAAAATATATAATATATAATTTAAATACTTGACAATACTTTAATTAATATATAATTAAACTTTATATTTTTATACTTTAGAATGCTTTTGTTAATCGCTATATATTTTTCTTCTATAATAAAATGTATAATTAGAAATTATATTTTGTAGTTCTAAATCACAATTACTACTTTATCAAAAATATGTATACATATATGTATATTTATGTGTGTTGATTTATTTACATCAACAATTAAATTTTTATTAAAATAACATCTTGCACACACACACAAACACACACACACACACACACACACACACACATATATATATATATATATATATGCTTATTTTAAAATAAAAAAATTAAATTCTAAAATATCTTCTAAATACTCTATGATCTTCTTTGCTACTAATCAATACATAAAGTCAACTTTTACTATATATTGGCTTGGTTTAATTTTTGCACATAAAAGATGAACATATATATCCATTGTGGCAAACGTCAATACCTCTATTATAAATACCTTCTAAGTTACCATAAATCTCCACAAATTTATTTTTTAGAAATTTCATTAACTTTGTATTGGCTTTTTATAATTATATGACTAATGTAATCTTGTATAAATCCAATTCTAATACAAAATATTAGTATCACAAATGGCATATATCTTACTTTTGTATAAGGTTAACTTTGGATAATTCTAATACTAAAATAAAAGTTTTCAAAATGGCATTATTTACATATATAAAATGATATGTATATTTTGATGTCATATAAAAGTAGTTATTTTATTCTTTTTAAAAAATATTATATAAGAACTTGTTTTTATTTTAATAAAAAATATCTTATTTATAATTATTTGATTATTTTATAACAATTTTAATTTTATATAAAATATTAATGATTTTATAAATTTTTACTTTTAATTTTGATAGTAAAAATATATAATAATTTTACATAGCCAAAATAGTTCATAGATGAAAAAGGCCCTTTCTTCTAAACTTGTATATTCATTCATTTCATTCACTAATAAATCCAAATTGTCTTTTTTCTTTCATAAGGAATGTTTTAAATTAATTAGTTATAACCACAAAGTTGGGATATTGTAGTCATCATCATTGCATTCACAATAAATATAAACATTCTACAATCAATAATTGGATACATAACAGAACAATACGTGTTAAATTTATGAACCAATACTTAAGAGATGAACCTACCAAGAAGCTCCTAAGCACTCTCTAAGTAGCTTCCAAGCTCTCTCCAACTAGCTTTTGAAAACCCACCATGAAAGAAGGAAAAAAGAGTTGACCTCCACATCATGAATAGGATGCATCTCTAAAGAATAAGCCAAACTTATGATTTCTCTTGGAAATCCCTCCACACGAAACTATGATGTAAAGATGTGACAAGAAATTAAAGAAGATAATATTGAAATATACAAATGGTCATGACTTTTTTTTGTGGATTTATTCTTAGTGCGTGTGATGATGCAAAATCCAAGTTACCGGTTTGTACGATTTGACAATATTAAGTCATTGATGTCACCATCAAATTTATTATATATATATATATATATATATATAGAGAGATATATAAACTCACTTCAAGGAATAGAGATTTGAGCCTTGAAACCTCCATAGATCCACTCTAATACTATCAAAGGCACTCCAACTCTACCTATCTATTTATCTATTTATTTATTTAATCTTTTGGTCTCATTTGTGGAATTCATCTATAGCCTCATTTATGAACAAGGGAAGTAACCCAATTCCTAGGTCATGATGCATGCTCACCTCTCAAATTGAGTATATATTGGCTTCTTTAAATCAAATTAAGTTTGATATACTTGTACCATTTGGTACCACTCACAAAAAGATCAGATTATCAATTTAAATATATTGTGATATATGTGAGTATACCACAAATATAGACACATATAAAAAATACAAAGGATCAATGATTTTGATTTTGATTTATATATATTTCAACCTTGTGTATATTCTCAAGTATACATAATTTTTTTTTCAATACACAATTTATTGAAACGACTAATTAGTTTTTTTTTTTTTTCCAATTAAACTTATACATTTTCTTTAAACTATATTACAATTTTATTACAACCTCAACAAAAAAATTTCAAAAAAAAAAAGAAAAAATCATCCAAAACAGCAAGCAAAGGCCAAATATGATTTCAATATGTTTTCAATAAGAAAGAAGTACAAAGCATTACAAAGGATGTTTGGTTGGCATTAAAACCTTACATGAATTTCTGATCATGTAGAATTTTCTAGTTATGCTTATAAAAATGTATATATATATTGGAGAAATTTATAAAAGAAGTTATGCTCAAAATTCTTTATTCCACTCAAATAGTTTCATTTTAACACAAACTATTATGAAACTTGAATTTTTATCTTTTATTTGGATTTGTAATTTCCATGCATATTTTATCAATTACCAAAAAAACATTACCTGTCCAAGAACTATTAAATGAATTTATGATGACTAGATTTTTTTTATTCATTAATTATCTTCTGAAGGATCAATGATTCTGTTAACATGGTGTAGCAAGGTTTACAAAATTTTCAATTTACCATAGGAGTGATAAAAAAAAGATATTAGTTGATGTTTTGGGTTTAACATCAGAGTGTTAATTTTCATACTTTGTATAAATTCAAGGTTAAAAGTGTAACATTATTTATTTTCAAAAAAAAATCGAAGTGTATATGTATTAGAAAGTTAAAAAATTATAACTTTACATTACTCATGACTTTTTAAATAATACCAAAATATTCTAAATCACATCAACAAATTATGAAGTCACATATTGTATTTTTGGATTTAAAAAAATTATTGTAAGAAAATAAAAAAACTGATTTTTATTAATTTTAAATTTTAATTATATTATTTTTATATTCCTATTCTAAAAATAAAAATCAATAGTTAGTTAAACTAAAAATATTAATTCTCAAGATGATCCATGCATCATGACTTAAAGAAATTTAAAGATTTTCTATGGTTGCTTACTTGGGCTTAATTTATCATCCACCTTTATGTAATTCAAAATTTAATTGCAATACATGAACATTTTACTTTAATATTAAAGTAACAATTATACAAACCAACTTATGATTAGAATCATATATACAATACAAAACATTTATACAAACACCTTTATAGTTTCTAGTAATTGAATGCTTTGTTAACAATTCAGAGAGTGTGTGTGTGTGTGTGTGTATATACACATAAACAACACTATTTTCATTCCAAACATTTATTTTTTACATTGTACACAAAAGTACAACATTGTTTTCTTATTTTTATTTTTTATTTTTTTATGTATTTCAAACATGTATGTAGATTGGGTCAAACCTTCAAATTATGATATGTATAGAAAGGAAGTAGATTCCACAAATTTCTTGACCCATTTTCCAACAAGATGGAATCAAACCCCATTTTTTATTTTTTATTTTATCAGTTGATTGCAATGGAACCTTCAGCATGGTTCTTACTTGCAATAGCTGACTTAGACTTGAACTTTAACAACGTGGATTTTGCTTTGACACCAATGAGGATGACATTAATGATTCCAACTGTTGTTTACATGACCATGTTTAGCTAACCTTGTTGTGAGAATAATTGTCAGTGCCATTATGTAATATTGGGGACATGTATTTTCCTGTAAAATGAAAGGATGCAGACACAATCATGTTCATGTAGGATTCAATTCAACTCAATAAAAGAACACAGAAAAATAAACAAGACAGTATTAAATAGAATAGAATCATAGTGAGAAATATGAAGGAAATTTAAATCACATTAAAATATTCAAGTTTTAATATTATTCATTAATCTACACAATGTAATTTCTCAAAATACTACACAAATTCTACATACCTGGCCTGAATACTTTGCACAATAACATTCATAATTGATATTGATCATTCACCATTTCAATGTGACCCATACCTAAAATGATGTGTGGAGTTGGAAACCAATGACAATGCTTCCTTTTCTAGAACTAAACAAGGTGCAAGAACTACGCAAGTTTAATGTCATATATTTTAGTCTTTGGAGCAAATATGGGAATAGATGCCATCACTACAACTTAAACATGCCATACTCACATTTAAAGCACTCCTACAACCAATTGCTTATGCAAAATTAGTAAATTGTATTGTTACAAAGTATAACCCACATTATGTTTGAAAGAAAAAGAAAACACTCAGCTTTGTTTATACATACATATTGTGTACATGGAGGTGACATCAATGTCAACTAATTATAATCTACCAAGCCTATTTATAGATGAGATTACATAATTCTACAAGTAATAAAACCTACACACCTTTGTAACAGTTTGTGATATTTGGTACAGACATTGACCAGCATCCCTAAAAACACGTTTAAGTGGGTACTAGAAAATTTAAAGAGCTTTTATTAATAATAACAAATGTAAATTGTGCATTTAAGCTATTCAGATTTACACAATTGTGCATATGCTTTATGGGTGTATTCAAGGATAAACAGAAATGCTAGTTTATCATAGATAAGAACAAATAAAGTTTCCAAACAATCCAAAAAATGTCAAAAGAACTACTTTATGAAGAAGATTGGTATGAGGAAAGCCTGAGAAAGGTTTGACTCCCAAGGGCCCTATGGAATATTTGGCTTGATCCAATTATGCACTATATTCTCATAACGTTTTTTTTTTTTTTTTTTTTTTTTTTTTTGTATTTTTGATTTTTTTATTGAAATATTTTGTAAGACACTGTTTATAATTCCAAAACATCACACAATATACATTTTGTTTCGAAAAAATAAAAAAATGAAACCAAATGTATTTGAATATAAAAAGATTTTTATTATTACAGATTGTAGGTTTAAAGTTTGAAACAAAGTATGAAAGGTCAATAATTATGGCTGTTGTGTATGTTTAACACATCCTCAATTGAATAAATAATTTGAAATACTTGAAGTACTTTTTTGCAAATTGCTGATAAGATAAATAATTTAATAAGATGAAAAACTTGTTCAGAAATTATGTTATGAATCTTACACATTTTTTTCATTGTAACAAAAAAATAAAATTCTGTTGATTTTATAAATGTGGAATGAAGATAAAGGTTACAAATTAATTTGCATGAATTATTTATGTATTATTTTTGTTCAAATTACTTTTTCATTTGACCTTTAATTTAATATATATTTATTACTTGATAGTACTGACTCAGTAAAAGAAAAGAAAGAAAAGAAAGAAAAGAAATCTGCACACATAATTATGAGATGTGACTCTCTAAATAAATAGTGTCAATTGAGAAGTATGTGTACATAGACGTACCATATATACATAATATAAAAGATAACAAAAAAAGAAAAAAAGAAGTGTTCAAAATATTCAGATGTTAGCACTAATAGATGGCTTTGAGGCACAAATAATGATGAAATTAGTTCAATGGATCAAATAATACTGAAATATATTTTCGTGTATTAGAGTGAAATATGATCTAAAGAAACTTTCAGCAGACAATTGTACACAAATATATATAAATATATATTTACACACACAATATGTGTTGAGCATTATCAAATACATGCAAACAAAAAATGTTAAGTAAAATATAAATGAATGATAATTAACTATTAATGAATCAATACTTTAATTGTTTAACAAAATTACATTGATGTGTATTATGCAATCTTAACATGTTACATAGAATAATAAGTTTTACTAACACAATACATTACAATTTGTAATCATTCTTAAAGTGGTCAACTCTTCCACAGTAAGAAACATGAGGCATCTATGTATCAACAGCATGCAGTTTTATAGCCAAACATACGTCTTTATGCAACTAAATTGTGGCAAGTGGCAAAGAACTGTCCAGACTCTAGTATGGCTCCGCAGGTTTGCGGACGTTGTGACAGGCATACAAGGCTTTGCTGCCAAGCTCCTCCTCAATTCTTAGAAGCTGCACAGAGTATTAACACCACAGAGATGATTTTGAGTTCGACAATGCATTTACTTTCAACAATTTTCATGCTTTTCTCACGATCAATATCTAGAGCAAGAATCCAGAGTAGGCCGAACCTGGTTGTACTTGGACAATCTCTCAGAGCGGCAAGGAGCTCCAGTCTTAATCTGGCCCTGCATCATCAAGCGAACGCCACTACCACACTCTTCACAGCAGAGGCAATCCACGATATTAATTTAAGGTCAAAGCATCAACTACGAAAAAATTCCGGAATTTTTGTCCAAGAAATAAAATAAAGTAAAACAAAACAAAACACAACATAACTAAGAAAGTAAAAAAAAATGCTGACGTACAGTTGAAAGACCAACGGCAAGGTCTGCAATGAAGTCCTCCGTCGCTCCACTTCGATGGCTTGTCATCACACCCCATCCGGCTTTCTTTGCCACGACCACAGCTTCATTACTCTCGGTTACTGATAAAATCTGGTTTACCTTTAATAGAAGAGCGTTACATGCCTTCTGCTGAACGGCGTATCCCAAACGCTGCAACCAAACAAAATATTTAAATGCTCTTTAGAGCTATACTATCTAAAATATTACGACAAGTAGATATCTCTCATTTATATGCTATAATCTATAAACAGTCTAACATAGTAGTTGCAAACTGCAATGTTACAGCACACCCCACCCCCAACCCAAGCACAAGTTATGGAAGAATGTGTGGCCAGAATAAAGCAATAAGGGGATCACTTTCAAATTGTGATAAACCTCAACCAATCTTCATGGCTTCATTGAAGGAAAATGCACCAGTGGGCAAGTTCATGAATTCCTATTTAATACTTACCCAACATCAGTTGAAGAAAACTGGCTACTTCACTAAACAAACAGATACTAGAAAAGAATACGTACTATGAGCTATTGAGTGCGAAGGAAGGTAACCAGGTAAAGAGGAATCTTCAGCACCGGCCTTGCACACAGCAAGTGAAACTGCCAAAATAGCATGGGCAACCAACTGCATAAAAAAGAACAAAATGTTCATCAAATGATGAGGTCTCTCTTTGATCGCCAGCCAGTCATGATAGTCAACTGCTGCTGAGTTCATCCCTCATTTCTGAACTCAGGGATGTTGTGGATCACGCCCAATTTGGCACAAGTATCATTAGCAACGTATCATATTGAAACCTTTTTCTTGCACCATCCCCACTCATTCTTTGCTCCGTCGAGTTCATGAACCATAAAGTTGTCGATTGCGGTTTGATCTAAGGGGTCCTGCAAAATCGTACAATCATGTCAAATTCCACACCCACATGCACAGAACCATCCTCCAATCAAAAAAGTCGGGAAACTTCTTCACGGAATTCAAATACCTTTCCGACAAGAGCGGGGCCGATGACGTTGTTAACATTGTTCACAGCCTATTGACACAATCGTGAACCAGTTTAAAAATCCACATCCCTCCACAAATTCAGATTAAGACAAGGATTTGTACCAATCAGATCGTCTATGACTGAGCATTCTTGTAATTGGGCCAGTGATTAAAGGTCTTTTTCTTTCTTTCTTTTTTCATTGGAAGGGCAGAGAAAAATAAATGCCTTCTGAACCCCCTTTCCCATATAATCCTTGCCTCCGTCTCTCAACTCCAAGGCTTCATAAACGCCTGTCAAAAGCACATTGAAAATTATCGTCGGTGCTCAGAACAATGATCAGACCGCAGAAACCTTCAAATTGCCCAAAATGCTTTCTTCCTAGAGGTTATTCTCAGCCTACCAAGAAAATGGGTAACCGATGACCAGAAACTATCGCAGAAGATGAAGTCTAGAAAAGAAACAAATTCGTCAGTCTCAAGATATAAATGAGAAGCTTGCATAGGAGTAAAGGTTCTGACCAGTAGACGCACCGCTGGGTACTGCCGCCCTATACCACGATTCATCGGGTAAGTGAATATCCGCCTGATCAGCATCAATACGCACAACCAAAAACCCATCAATCCGTCGCGCAACATCCTCTTCCCAAACCGAAAGAACTCCTAAAGCACTACATAGAGAAAATCCTCTACTCTGACAATCATCTCCATTCTAATTTTCGCCCAAATCCAACTACCACAACATTGAATGCCACGACTAGCAAACCACATCGTCAACCCAAAAACAGCACAAATGTCACAGCACCTCCAGAGTGGGGTGGTAACCCCTCTGCCAAAAATGGAGCGCGCCTTGATCGATTGGATGGTCGCCATGATCAGCAGCGGAAACCGACACACAATCGCCTCGAAAACCCACGAATGTAAGAACACCTCTGAATCAAACCTGCCGAAATTGTTACCAGACCTGCAATTCGGAGAGAAACAAGCCTCTGGCTCTGCTTTCCGAAGGCACTTGCAATGGCATGGTGCAGTTCAGGAGAGCTCTGCGACTATTGAACGTGGATGACGAATGGAAACAAACCCATCCACCAACTTTTTACCAACAACATGAATTTTATCAATGTATTCTTCTGTAAACATGGATGTCGTTCGTCGACCGGCTGGATGAATAGACGCATTGCGGAGTCATTTATTTCCACGAGGCATGAGCCGGCGTCACCGACAACATGGCAAAGGGGAGCTTGGTGCCTCCGGAAATCCCTTCGTTTGCCTCCACACAGTCGGCGATGGAAATCCTTCGCCACACGGCTGCTCATTGGCACACAGGAGAATAGCCGAAGTGTGGTCGTCGTCGTCGGCGGGTTCTTAATGCCTCTGTCATCACCTGGTTGCACGTGATTGGGATCAATTTCAGTCAAGAGGGGGCGTGTGGGGCTGCCCTTTTTCAATGTGTCTTTCGTCTGGTAGCCTGAGGGTTCTCTCCGCGGTCGGAGTCCTCGAAGATCCTCCGCCTGCGATGCGTTGGATTCAATTACGTTGCGCTGTGTCATTGGTTTTTTTTTTTTTTGAGAATCACTCGAATTATTTAGATTGCGTTTGGTTGTCGCTTGACCTGCGGGTTTCCGAGGGTCGTAACGTCGTTGGTGGTTTTTGCTTCGGACAGTTCTTCTTCCTTTGTTTCTGTACGACTCTGGAGGAATTTGGTCTAAATTTTCGCGTTGATTTTTTGGTCGGATTCTGCACTTATGTTCAGGTTTGCAAGCTTTTGCATTTAGGCGTCAGTTCAATTAGTGCAGTCGGTCTTTGATCGAACGTGGTGTGCCTAACAGTAGGATAACTATGAGTATTTGATTCGTTGGGAAGGGGATTAAGGTTGTGAAAGTGAGGATATGAAAATTCAGCGTCTGTGTCAATTCCACCTGAATCGGTAATGAAAGATCAGGTTTACCTCGTCGGAATTGAAGTAAATCAGGTTTTCTTGGAGAGAGCATAAGGGTTTTAATCTGAAGAATTGGAAGCTGACCTGTGGAAATGGTTAGCGAAATCACGGATACTAGCTCGTCAGGGGCAGGGTCGGCAGAGGAGACGAAGACCTTACTAACCACCAGGAGTTGTAGAGAATGTTTGTTATATTCAAGTGTGATCGTGAACAAGGGCGTAATCCCGTCTGTTTGGGCCTTAGTGGGAGCAGTGAACCACAAGTGTTCGTGCCCCATACTGAACTGGACAACCAATTTGCTAAAAGTATTCGAAATTTCACAGATTTTTAGTATGCATGCGTACGGTACAGTGCCCACAAGGAAGTAAGCTCGAGCCAAACGACTCAACCGATCGACATCACCGGCGAGCTTCCATACTGTTACGGCCTGGAGTTTCTTGATGATAGAAAGCCAACCACGCAAGCTGTTCCTTCAGCCAATTCAGTGCCACCTCCTAAGGCTCTGGTACGCAAACCTCTAATCAGGGTTTTAAACCATAGTTCCACGTATTGTTTTACAATCCAGAGGTTTATCATCCAGATGCTGAATTTGTTTGTTCCTTCGAATGCTTATTCCTCTTATCAAACTAGACTGCTACTTGTTGGGATATCGTTCATATCTGATTAAGTGTACTCAAAATGAATTCTACCATCTGATTGATGAAGTGTCATCAAAGATGTCATCCTCGGGATAGCAGACTTGATCACCATGGTGCTTTATCGACTACTTTAGAAGATTACAGTATCTTTACCCTGCAGGCTTTGACTCGTACTGTCAGTTCAGAGTGCTTGAAATTGGCGAGATCACACTGATCGACACAGTCATTCATTCGTTGCAGGAACGGCTGAATAGAGAAGATTGCCCAAACGCGATCCCGAGACCACCATCATCTATCGGTGGCTCGGGTGGAGGAGGGTTGTCCAGTTCGCAACGAGGTTTTTTCGCTCGTTTAAAGTAGTGGCGATTGCCATCGTCAACAATGTGGGTAGGGTCGCAAGCAACATTCGAACCACAATCGTTAAAATATTTACGCCAGACCAAGGCCGTCCGAAGAATTGATGAACCGACTGTTAGCAATTTGTAAACAAAACATTCCCACGCTCCTGCTTCAAAGCTTACAATTTCCGACACTCACTGGCATCTCCCAGGTCATCGTGATTGCTCAACGGTTTCTGCTCATTTCCACGTGTTCTGTTCGCGAGATGGTCGTCTAGACATAGAGCCAGTCTCTAAATCTTGTTATGTGAGCATTCAGCAATGTATGTAACAGAAGTTGATTTCTGAGAGTTGGGCCTACTCTGACAGGCTGACTCTTTCAGCCACTGTTGCAAGTTATCCCCTCACTCGCAAGCACTTTCTCCCAAGCTTAGCAGAATCTAACGTACAGTTCACTACAAGTCATAGTCTTTGAGGTTGGTACGTGGGCCCTTGTCATAAACTTGCTGAAGTTGACCAGCTTGTTTTGCCGAGGTGTCATTGCTGTCTGAGTTGATCAAACAGCAAAATCGATGCTGATTCAGATTGAAACACTTCTGTTATGAGAGTACCAGAGCAACTTGTTATTTTCTGTATATAATATCTTGCCATCTGTATATTATTTGAGGAGAAAAATGGTTAGCAATACAAATACTCCGTTACTCGTCGACTCTCTCCATTGGCTTCTTGTGTTACCCTTTTGGGTTCGTAATAATCGAGTTTGTCGCATAGTTGTAAGAAGATTTTAAAGAAGTGAGTAGTAAATTCAAAAAGTTGAACCTCGGATTACCAGTAGGGTCTTGACCTGCCAGTTGGAATGATTTTACAATGAAGTTCCACGGGAAAACAACTGTGGGGACAATGATGGCTTTCTGATTGGAATGTGAGTCTACAAGGGTGCAATGCATGTGATGAATCCTACCACAGCCAAATGATTGTCACCGTGTTGATTCGATGTTTCCAAACATGCAATACTGGGCAAGACAGACTTTCAGTATGCAACATTTGATGATGGCAAAGCAGCTTTGTCTTGCTTGGTATGATGTCTTCTGAACTCCCCCCTAGCTGGCTGGTGTGCCTGATGAGAAAGACACCTCTTGATTGTGGACAAAGCCACCATTCTTACCTCGTACCTGGAGTTACAAGCTATGTCTGTGATCTACTGCAACTCTATGACTTTCTGTATACGGTGTTGCAGAGTAGAGCTGCATTACAAGCAATTTCATGAAGTATGCCACGATACAGATGATGATAGTACTTGCAAACAATGCAGCAAGCATGTGGGTGTTCATCATTGCACAGAATCCGCTAGATTTCAGCATGATTCTGTGCACGTCCTACATTCTCTATCAATATTGAATTGCTTCATTAACTACTGGTTCACTTGAGGTTGATTCACATGACAGAAGCATTATAGAAATGTGGGCATGCTATGGTAACAAGTCTAGCTCCTGAATCCTGCTCAATAGATACAACTGTGAATATGGACCTGCACATTGAGTTTTGCACGACTGTTGTATTCGGGGTGAGCTGTCTGCATCAATTCGCTTGGAATCGGTAGTTTCTCAGAGAATTAGCTAGCAGCCCATGTTATGTAATCAATTGGTTGTCCAGTGCATTGCAGTTAGTATTTTGTTCCTGATTCTGCTAAGAATAAACTGTATTTTAAAATAAGCTTGATCCTTAGCTTTAAGGCTGAGTATTTAACTAACAGTTGGTCAAGATTTGTCTTGCTGATCTGCCAGCACTCTGTGTTCTATGCGCTGTAACCCACATTCAACATTAGTTCTTCACTCCACGTCCAAGTAACCCAGTCTAATCCTCATCGCTAACTATTCAGAAAACTAGTCCAGGAAGACTCGAAATATTATGATCACCATTATCACCCGAAAGCATACGAGAGAAAGAACGATTTCAGGGAAGACTTCACACCTTTTGACAAGCCGATGGTGAATGTCTGGAATGCAGGAGGCAAAGAGATGATCCCAAATAGTAAGCCTAATGAAAGACGTGATTCAAAAAGGAGGGAAGCTGGAACGGCAAAACGCAGACTCGGTTTTTAAAGGTTAAGAAGAGCAGGATTAAATCTACATAGAATGTAGCCAAATAAACTTTCCTTACATAGCTTGGCGCAGACACATCGGATAGAGACGGGCCTCAGTTGATGAGCTTGGTACGAAGATCGACGAGAGTCGTGTTATGGAGGTTGAGACGTGCACCTTTCTTTTGCGTCGCAATCCGTGGTGACATCGCCTCGCGGACATTGAAGCATCCGAATGGAACGCATTCTAAACGGAGCGGAGTTGAGGAGATTAGGGTTGTTGGTGTGAAGGAAGAATTCATGAGTGGATGGGGATCGTGTCGCTTGCAATGTTAGGAATACGGTGGACAGGTGGACTGGTGGATAGGTGGAGCTCATGAAATTGCGATTTGTAGCGTGAGGTTCATTTGGAGGGGTTTGGTACTGGAGAAAGGCTTTGGTTGTGGTGTTGTTGGAAGATCAAGAAGTACACGGGTGAAGGAGGTTGGGTTTACAGCTGATTGGGCAATGGCACAGGGAACGTCGTTGCTGGCAGCGTGCGGAGGTGAAACAGTAAAGTTGTTTGATGTATCCATAGAGACAGGGGACCCCTGCACGTTCCAGTACACTCCTTCTCCGGGATATCAAGTCAATTGCGTGCGATGGAACCACACCAGTAAGTTCGATGCAGGCTTTGTCCAGGGCGTGTCTCGTTTTATATTTTATGGTTAGCACATGAATCAAGTAGTCCGACTTTGAATGCAGATTTAGTGATTGGTGATTTGGTGCGTCGAGACTGTAAGGTTCAACACTGGACCTGGAGAATCCGTCGCAGATATAAGGACTTTGCTGCTGCTTTGAGGCACCTTCTGCTTCCTTAAGCTGGTTTTCTATTATGTGCGCTGAAATACGTACGATGTTTCTTTATAACAATAGTGCGCTTCTTCGCTCTACTTTTAAGAAATACTCCTATGAGCGAACATGCTGTTTTTTGCCTGGACAAGAGGCAAACAACGTGTTCATTGTAAGTCTAGTCTACTTACAAACCCGTCCTTGAATGTGCGTGGTTAGGTGGCCGATAATTTGCGGATGAGCTCTATGCTCGAAATTAAACATTAACTCCATTACTTCAGCTAGCAGATGTATTACTGTTCCTTTTAAAACCTACTCAGATCACCAACGTACCTCTGACAAACCAACTCAAAATTCAGCATGCTGGCACAGTTCAAGCAGCGTAATTACAAAGAGCGAAGAGTTTAGGGCTCGCTATGCTTTGCAGATTCTGTAATTATGGAGAGAAGGCTTGAAGACATGAGTCGCATCATGTACTTGATCTGAAGTCAACCATACTCAGAATCTTGTGTGTTAGGATTTGTAGAGGCTTTCATTTCAGAATATTTCCTGGAACAGTGGCTTCGCAACGCATCCGAGTGGTTTATATTTGTTCGTTGCTGTGTGGATGATAGAAAACTAGATTCGTAAGCTCTCTGCTACCAGATTTTTCTTGTCGGCAGGAATTGAACTCGACACTGCTCTGTTTTACTGATTATTTCATATTGCATAATTTTCCGAGCTTGGAATTTGTTTTGTGTTCTGATATTGATATGAAATTAGCCCGCATTGAGCATGAAAATTAGTAGAACTTGCCGCAATCTGCAAACCAATCATTAATTCCGTAACGTCTGAAGGCGTTGGTTCTATACTAATGACGGAGGTTGTGCTCGCTGCATATAGAAACCGCATCCTAGTGTCCTATCTTAGTCGCAGATCTGGATATATTTGTCCACTCTTTTCTCACAGGAAAATTTGAATTCGAAATTGATCTCAGATATATATCGACTGGCTCTTAAAACCGCATGTAAATTCAACTGCGTGGCTTTTCTAATAATTCACGCAGCCTTGGTCCTTCTAGTGTTAAATGGGGGTGGTTTAGAATAGACCTGTGAGCAATAAGTGGAATTAGCTGCTTTAACTGTTGGTTTTACCCGGTCGCGACTTAAGGGAGTCTTTACATCAGATGCATTTGATGTGGAGATTTTTTCCTTCTGCTAGTTGTTGGCCAATTCTCAAGCATCTGTTCTACAGATTTGGTGGTGGCAAGTGCTGGAGAAGACTGCAAGATTTCCTTATGGATGAAAAATGGTCAAACAGTAGGTGTTGTACCTCAACCGGGTGAAGGAACGGATGACAATATCGATGTAAGTGCACGAGCAATGTTTTGTTTCAGAATCTGTGTGTGTGAAACAAAAAATGATAAAAGAGGTATTGACATTTATGCTTCCTGTGTTCATGGCACGTCATGAGAGCTTTCGCAACAGAACTTAAACTTCGACATAGTTTGTAGTGAAGTTCTGGAGCTTGGAGAATAATTGGTTCAGCTTGTGTTGCAGGAATCTATTTTAGGAATTTGTTTCAGCAGTAAAGGGTCGCGGTATCTTGGCTCTGGAGGAACTGGTAAGATCGTCCGTATTTGGGATCTTCAAAGAAGGAGATGCATCAAGTGGTTGAAGGGTCACACCGATACTATCACCGGTGTTATGTACAATTGTAGGGATGAACACTTAGCCTCCATCAGCATAAAAGGTGACCTGATCGTACATAGTCTTGCATCAGGAACCAGGGCAGCAGAACTTAAAGATCCTCATAATCAGGTATGAATAAGTGCAGTTAGACTTATCTCATTTTTTGCACACAATTCAAGAGAAAACCTTAATGACATCATGCTTCTTTCGTTGGAGCAGGTTCTCAGAGTTATGGAGTACTCTCGATTGAGTAGGCATCTTCTACTTACCGCTGGTGATGACGGCACTGTCCATGTGTGGGACACCACTTCACGTAGTCCCAAGGCAGGTCAATTCTTGTACTTTTCTCTTTACTCTCTGCTTTGAATCTGAGGTTTAACCACTTGTCATCTTTTGTTTTGAAGCTGCTAAAGTCCACCGATTGCTTAAGTATTGTTAGTTTGTTTTTAGTTCTTAGTTTATGCGTGTTTTTGTGTTGAAGTGTTCAAACAATCCCTTCTTTTCCTATTGTGGTGTCTTTTCTTTGACATTGCATGATTTTACATTGTGTTGCTGAGAATGAGCTTGTGTTTACGTGTACAGCTTTAGCGTTTCTTCAAATGATTTGGATACTTGGAAGGGCTTATCCTTCTCACGGTGTTGGCCACTTCTGTCTTCTACAAGAGGGCGCCTTTATCTTAAATCATTAATGTGATTGAATGTTAAGTTTTTTTGAGAATTTTTTTTCGCTGCAGGTATCTTGGCTGAAGCAGCATTCAGCACCTACTACAGGGCTCTGCTTCTCACCAACATCTGACAAGGTCTGTCGTTTGCTACTCTGTACACTCTTGTACGAACTAAGCTTTTTTTCAATGAGCAGAGACTAGTTACCCAGACCGAAATCTGGACGCACCATGATTAAATTTCTATCATCCACAGTTCTTCCAAGAATGATATTTACTAAGATATTTTGCGGGAAATATGAAGCTGTATGATGTCTCTTAGTTATGTTTCATGTTGACTTATGTCTTCATGCTTGAAATGATTGAAAGTCATGCTTTGCTTTCTTTCTCTTCTAGAAATCAAAGTGTCTGGTGTTGGAAACCATAAAATGGTTTTGGGCAATATTTTCTAAATTTTAATGTAATTTTTGTTGCCAGATGATTGTGAGTGCTGGACTAGACAAGAAGTTATATACATATGATCCTGGTGTCAAAAAGCCTGTGTTCTGTGTACCATATGAAGCTCCCTTTGCATCTTTGGCTTTTAGGGATGATGGCAACACCTTGGCAGCTGGTACCAATAGTGGCCGAGTTGTGTTCTATGATTTGCGGGGTCGGCCCCAGCCTTTCACAATTCTGCGGGCTTATGGTGCTTCGGAGGTGAGAAGTAATAAATTCTGGGTGCTGCCTTGAAATGGAGCAAACCTGATCTATGAAGCATATGTTTGCGGATACTATCTTTACTGTAGGCATATAAGATGGTAAATATAATTCTTCGCGTTTTTTTCATTTTTCCAGAGAGTGACTGCGTCTAGGTATTACTGAGTTCATCATTTATTAGTGTTATTTGACATCTTTGACTTCCTTTGGGAATACATTTTTTCTTGCTTTTTAAACTTTCCAGTTTTCTAGAATCAAAATTAAACATTGTGAATGATATTCTTTTAGACTCATCCGTCAATACTTCTGTTACATTTCTCTATTTCTTTTGCTCAAGAATTGTAGACCATATTTCACCATATATGTGCAGGCAGTGACAAGCTTGAGTTGGCAACGGTCTAATCCAATTTCTGTCAAAGACACAAGATCTGGAGAGTCTGCTCTTTTAGGTAACAGCAATGAAGAATCCGTGCTTATGCCAGATCCCCTTCCTGCTGGCACCAGGGGACGGACAACATCTGCTGCTCCACCTACTAAATCTAGCATTCGTATCAGTTCATTTTCAGGTCAGGTACCTTCTTCAGCTCCTGGGGGGCCTTCAGGTAACTCAA